TTCCTGCTTCTAATGAATTTGCACGAGCTTGTATCTTTGCGTCTTGTTTTGGCTCTGTATTCTATTTCTAAAATGAACATATGATGGACTCTGCGTCTATCCGTTGATTTGTTTGAAGATCTTGTCTGCGTATCATCTGTATGCATAAAAAAAAATGACTGTAGAATTTAATAATATATCTCTACTTGGTCTGATCTTAAATCAGTAGTTTTGGCAGTTTTTGACCAGTACTTGAAATTATTGCGCTGTGAAGCTGATGTCATGTTGTTTTCCTTTCTTTGACCTTGTGGGGTTTCTGCTTGAGCCCCTTTCTGAACCATTACCAACTGGCTTAATAGTAAAAGGAACACTATAGACTTCATCTCTCCTTTTCCTCGTTCCCTTGGAGACGAGAAAAGCAGCTTGCTTGGTGACTTGAACTATTTCGAGTATTTGGTTGCAAGCTTTCTAGGTGTGAAACTTCATCAGAGAGCAAAAGAAAAGACAGGAAAAGAATCATCATAAAGCAACTTAACATTTCGCTTCCTTTCATGGATGTGGATTTGGATTTAGCATTGTTGAAAGCTCTGGTTCATCTGTATCCACTGTATAGTTGCATGATAATCTTCAAAAGGCACTCTCGTATTTTAACTCTACATTTCCCAGTGTGTCCCATATGTCGGATACCTAACATTGACTTTCTTTAACCTTAATGTTGATTTCTTGCTACTTTCCTTACTCCCCTTTTTATAATACTTCTTTTCTGGACTGGCCCAAGGCCCTAAAGCTAATCACACCTACAATTGTAATCAGTTGTGAGTAGTTCTACCCGATCAACATGAAATATCCTCGCATTCATCTTTTATTGAAAGCAGAGGGAGGGGCATTAAAAACAAGAAGATTGCCCAGGGATTACAGTGATATGCTAGCAATAGATTGTTATGCAATTTGTGATGATAAAGTTGACGTAAAACAATCTGATATCTGTAATTTATGCTGATATTGTGCACTTATAACCACAAGAAAAAAATAAGAAAATGTGCTCGTGTGTCTTTTTTCATGTTTAAAGTCTGTTTTTCTTGAGTACTAGATGTCAGAAGTAGTTTCTAATTTGCAGGTTCTTTAAATCGGACTGACATATGCAGCCACTCACTATTAGATGCTCGAGTTCTGGGAGATTGTTCTTAACATGCTTCATATTAGTCCTTCACTATCCTTAACTGGTCCTGTGATACAGCAACTTCTATGAAGTAAATGTTGTCATACTGAGACTTATCAGATTGCTCAATGCAACCTCTAACTTTTCATCTGATTTCTGTAGATCTATTATATATTCATTTCCCAGATTTATTTTTGAGGTTGCTGGTTTGCTATGGCATGCTGCGACTACTGTCATGGATGTTGTGAGAATTATTTTTTCCAAATTTTTGTCTGACACATGTCCTTTCTGACTTCTTTATTTTCAATTTCAGCAAACCTGCTCGATATGCCTGGCCAAGATGAAACAAGGTGATGGACATGCTATTTTTACGGCAGAGTGCTCACATTCCTTTCATTTCCACTGCATTTCTTCAAATGTCAAACATGGCAACCAACTTTGTCCAGTTTGCAGAGCAAAATGGAAAGAAATCCCCTTTCAGGCACCAACTTTGGATCCACTGCCTGGGAGAGCATCAGCGGGCTGGCCTCAAACTGATGCTGTGATTACTAGGGTCCACCGATTACCTCCCCTACCACGTCGAGATCTTAATCGGCGACATGTGTCATTGCTGCAGGCTCCTGAACCTAGTGTGTTTGATGATGATGAATCCTTAGATCTCCAACCTGCATCCTCTGAGAGAAATTCCGGCAATAAAAATGATGCAGGCCACAATCCTGCTAAAACAGTTGAGATCAAAACCTACCCAGAAGTGTCAGCTGCATCATGTTCTAATTCTTACAATAACTTCACTGTCTTGGTCCATATCAAAGCTGCTGCAACAGTTGCAAGATTAAACCCCAGAGTAAACCAGGCTAGCTTGCCTCAACTAACTCAAACTCCACGCGCTCCAGTTGATTTAGTCACAGTGCTTGACATCAGTGGTAGCATCGCAGGTACAAAGCTGGCATTGCTAAAACGAGCAATGGGGTTTGTTATTCAGAACCTTGGTTCCAATGACAGGCTTTCGGTTATTGCCTTTTCTTCTAATGCTCGCCGCCTCTTTCCCCTTCGTAGAATGTCTGACACAGGTCGGCAGCATGCACTTCAGGCAGTCAACTCTTTGGTTGCGAATGGTGGGACCAACATTGCTGAAGGTCTGAGAAAGGGAGCCAAGTTAATGGAAGACCGAAGGGAAAAGAATCCTGTGGCAAGTATTATACTTTTATCTGATGGGCAGGATACTTATACTGTCAGTGGTAATGGTGGTAACCAACCTCAACCAAACTACCAGCTGCTCCTCCCTTTGTCGATTCATGGTGGTGACAATGCTGGATTCCAGATTCCGGTGCATGCTTTTGGCTTTGGCGCTGACCATGATGCTTCATCAATGCATTCCATTTCTGAAATTTCTGGAGGCACCTTCTCTTTTATTGAGACTGAAGCTGTGATCCAGGATGCATTTGCACAGTGCATTGGGGGTCTTCTAAGTGTTGTTGTGCAGGAGTTGCAAGTGGGAGTTGAGTGCATGCACCCTAGTGTCCACCTTGGCTCATTGAAAGCAGGAAGTTACCCTAGTCGTGTGATGGTTGATGCCCGCTCTGGGTTTATCGATGTTGGAGATTTATATGCTGATGAAGAGAGAGATTTCCTGGTTTCGGTCAATGTTCCAGCAGAGCCTTCCAGGAATCAAACATCACTGCTAAAGGTGAGATGTGCATACAGGGATCCTTTAACTAAAGAAATGGCAACATTAGAAAGTGAAGAAATTAAACTTGAAAGACCTGAAATATCTGGAGAAGCAATAGTGTCAATTGAAGTGGATAGGCAACGCAATAGATTCCAAGCAGCTGAAGCAATGTCACGGGCAAGAACCACAGCTGAACGAGGAGATCTAGTTGGTGCAGCTTCTATCCTTGAAAACTGTCGAATGTTATTGTTAGAAACTGTGTCGGCTAAGTTCCATGATCGATTATGTATTGCACTAGATGCTGAGCTCAAGGAGATGCAAGAAAGGATGGCAAGCAGACATGTATATGAGGCATCTGGGAGAGCATATATTCTATCAGGCCTAAGCTCGCACTCATGGCAAAGAGCAACTGTGAGAGGAGACTCCACTGATGGTTCAAGTCTTGCTCAATCTTATCAAACCCCATCAATGACGGAGATGCTCGCTCGATCTCAGGCTGCATTCCTGGGCAGTCCATCAAATCAGAGGCTTGTTCAACCATCATGGTCATTTGGATCACAACCAAAGCCAAGGTGATTTTAGGACCATCGCGGTCATTGTCTTCAAGTAGCATTTTTCAGTGCCTTCCCTTTTGTTTTCACATTTTATTTGGGGTTAAGGGGATAAAATTGGAGAGATAAGAAGAGAGTTTTTTTGTACTGTGATTTTGCTGATGTCACGTGTAAATGAATAAAAACTGGGGAAAGGTGTGGGGGGATATATTTGAGAGGAAAGAGATAAGGATCACTAGGTTGGTTTTACAACTTTTGCTCTCGTATTTGTGTTGATGGGGGAGATGTACATAAGGAGCAGCGGTACTTTCTCTGGGGTAACTGGGGATAAGTTTGTAATTGTGGAGATGGTTGGGGTGAAGTTTTCGCCTGATATAGTTTACCTGCTCTTACCTGCTCTCAATTCTTTTCAGAGAGTGTTGATCGCTTTTTCCAACTTACTCCCCCGCTTTCGTGCATGCACATGCATAATATGTATGTATGTATGGGGCCTGATGAGGTTAATCTTTATGTCATTTATATCAAGCATGTCAGAAGGGAAAGAAGAGAATCATCTTACATGCAGTTAGATAATGAAATGGATCTTTGTGCCATAGTTATTAACTTATTGCAATGCCTGCGGTGGGTTACATGCTGGACAATGAGATGGTTAATTTGTATTTCCTGAGACTCTAAATGCTAACTGTCATCGGAGGAATGTGGAAAGTGAAAAAATGGCATGGCAGACTGCAGAGTAACAAAGGAACACAGCGTCCAATCAGTCATAACTCAAATAATGGAGAAACATCAGGGCAATAATAAATGGAATTTCGTCAGAAATGATGCCGGATATTTTATCCATAGTTAGACACTTCACTCCAAAAGGATGGAGCCCCTAATGTGATTCGAACTCACTCGAATCCTAGCCTCTTAAGCCACAGCTTTACGTTGTACCGTAATAGTTGAGTGCCTTTTTAAGATGCTTGCGCTCAGCCTTGGCACAGGATTCTTGAAATTTCCATCAAGTTAATATATAGTAAGGAAGTTGGTACTTCGGCTTATGCCCAGCTAGACCAACGGATCCGCTTTTGTATTCAAATCCGATTTTCCAGACGGAGACAGGTATCGTGTCTATACCCAGAACACTAGCATTCTAGACCCCCCCTTGTAATAAGATATTCAAGAGTCCTTGTTAGTTCACCCAAGTTGTAAAAAAGAGACTAGGGACCACTCATCAAAATTCAAATGTACAGGTACTTGTACATAAAATTGATGGACTTCAAGAGAAATACAGGTGAGTTTGACGTGATACAACAGCGTCTGAATGGTAGATGGATGCAAGTGTTAAGAACGGGAGTTGTACCAAATTACTCTATCCATGCTCCCACGTAGTATCGTAAAACAAAAACTCTCCTGTTAGTTCAAAACCTCTCGAACACCCATCTACTCCAGAACTACTTTAATTCCCCTCCGATCACTACAAAGAAAGATGGATCAACCTCCACCGCAAGAAGCACCACCAGCAGCGGCAGGCATGCCTCCTGGACCTTCTAGACGACTATTGTCATGGTAATGAACATTTCTTTCTCCTTGCCTATATAACATTCAAAATAAATATCAGTACTTGCGATTCTGTTGGGTAATTTTACCCCTTTTTTTTTCCCAATTTCTGAAATATCCAGGATCTGGTTTCTGTGCTGCTGTGGTCTATTTACAAGTTGCTGTCCAGGTCTGTTTCCACCTGAACCCCCACCAGCAGTGTGACGACTTGAATATGTCATATGCTCGTCCGAGTTTAAATAAACAATTATCGTCCTCTCAGACCAGTTCTTCATTTGAAGTATGCTCAACAAATGTACGGGAGAGATTTGTTGTATGATCCAGTGCTAGTTTTCCACTTATGAATTGGATAGTGTAATTGGTTGTCACTGGGGTCTATTGGGATACAAAATAATCAAATATGAGCATTGAACTTATTCAGGCAAAACTGGATGCCTGTATCACATCTATTCACTATTTATTGCTGAACGACCGGGGCATATGGGAGTGTTTCACTCGTAAAACTAGAAAACACTACTGCTACACAAATAATACAAAATCTCATGAACTTTCCAGCTAAAGTGCAATTTAGTGACACATGCAACAAGCTCAAACTAGCAGGACTAGCCTGATTTGCCTTCGTTTGGCCTAGGAATTTTTTTGTACTCAAAGTTGGTTATGTCCACTTTCTTTTGCAAAGCCTGTAAAACACAGAAAAGCAAGTAAGCTATAGAAATGTCCATGGTTTTATTAATTTAAGCTGTGCTATCAGAACCGCAATTACCTTTAACTCCTCTTCCAATGACATCTTTTTAGGATTGTATGATCCTGGTGGTCCAGATCTAGATAGTGCTCCTTGTGTCTCAATAATCTCCCATTCTCGATCATCTTTCACCTTAGCAATATCCTTCCTGAACTACAGAATCCCACTATCTTAGTAGAAGATTATGAAATGAAATGAAAACCTCAAGATAATTGTGAGTTTTTAGGCATTGAAACAGTGTTTTAAACAGGCATTATTTCATATATCATGAATCAAGTATGGGCCAAGACCAATAACTGAAATCATGATCACAAAAGCATATATACAGATCATCTGCGCAACATCTATGTCACTATGTCGCGTGCATTGTATGAAGAAAGCCGTGCCCGAGATAAACCATGGCCATTTTGCAATCATTTGGATTATATGATCAAATAACACATTCTGATCCTCCTAGAGTGATTAAGTCAGATTAAAACTGCTCAAAATCATCCAACAATCTTGATCAATATCTTCCAGTACAGCCAAAGGATCTAACTGACCATTTCACCTCACATTCAGATTTCAATGGTGCCACATACGAAATCTGGACAACCAAAATGAGTTGGGTTTCAATGGTACCACATAGGAAATCTGCGCAGCCAATATGGTTAGATCTTCTCATATGATACATTAAAAGATTAGAAAGATAAAGGTAGTGTCATAAAATTAAAAAGTTCTCAAACATCATTCACATGTTCCAAACTGAGAAGCTCCCGACTTCTCCTAAAACAAGACTTTTTGACAACCAGCAGATCTCTATCAAGAGAAAATAAGTGCACCTCATTCAACATGTAATCTCCTCCATGAATGATATTTCAGCCATGAAAATTCCAAAACCAAGAAACTCAGTCTCCACCAGAAAAGAAACCAGACCAAAAACCCAAAAATGGGTACCAAGCAGGCTTTCAGGTAACGGCATATCATACAAGAACTACACAAACTATCGGTCTTCAAAGCAAGTGAAACTAAAATAACTAAAACCTAAATATACCAACATCTCAATAAATTAATCAACCAACTGCAACTTCTGTCCGCAACTATTTGCAAACATGAGCTTGAAAGTAACCTTAAAATTAGGCCACTCACCTTTTTTAATAACTCAAATAAGCCAGACTAAAGCTAGCACAATTCATAAAGTTACAAAAGTTAATGAAAAATTTAACAACACGCAAACACAAGCTAACATGATTCATAAAGTAACCAAAGTTTCAAACCACAAAACAGAAGCTAAGATTATCAGCCTAAATTCAACACCAACCTGATATAAACACCAAAACTACGAACTGGGTTTTTCACAATAGAAACTGATCTCACATGAATGCTTATAATCTTACAATATTACAAAGGCCCCATCTTTCATCCCGAGATTTATAAAGCTACGAACTTTTTCATAAATTGAGAAAAAGAAAAGCACAAACCTGCCTTGCAAGAGATGAGCAAGTCCTATACTCCCAAAAACAGTGAGAGAAATCATGGGGAGACCGTATCTGACAAAAGGATGGCCTCTACCCCATCTTTTGAACGATGATGCAAATGACGTCTCAATCTTTCTAGCCGCGTTAGTGGTTTTACGGGGCTGGCTCATATTGGTCTCAATTGTTGACATTTTTACTCTAAATCATTAAAAGCTACACGCATCACCGGATTGCTCCCTGGTTTTTTGGTTTTGATTTTCGTTTTGGATTTCGATTTTCCAGGGTTCTGTTTTGGGATATCTTTGCTGCTTGATTCGAATAGTCTTTTAAATGTTTGGTGATTTAAATGTCTTGGGCTTTGCTTAGGCTATTGTCTGCGGGCTGAAAAATATTAACTAGATTCTCTTGTTTATTGGGCCTTGCTTCCTAGTTGTGAGGTCTACAAATATTTTCTTGGAAGAAGAATATGGAACAAAGTTGTAAATTTTTTAAAATCAAAACAATTTAACAAAGAGGAGCACAAGTGGGCTAAAATCAATTTAATATTGTGATAGATTTCGTGGTTTTTGATTGGAAATTTTTTTGTTGTTGATAGTTGGATTAATCTTGCGATTAAACTTGAAAGACATCAGAAAAACAATGGCATCCCTCATACAAGCCACTAGTGAGTTGTGGTTATGGTTTGCATGGATTTGCAGCGAATTAGCTTTCCTTTCCTATATAGCTTTCAGAAGAGGTGCTCGAGAGTTCGCTTTCTTTCTACTGATCGGGATTGTGATGTTCTGTTCCATTCATGAGTGAAGCTGGCAAAGTGATACTTTGGAATTTTTGGGTTTAATTTACTGCTTTGGTATCCTAGATTTTGGCTTTGATCAACCAGAACAAACTGCCTGGCCTAGATGGTCCAACTTTGTTTTGTCTTCCTTAGCTTCTCAATCTCATTTTTTCATCCTCAGACACTCTTTTTCGAGCTCCCAAACATGCCCCTTCATGTCACCTTGAATACAATCCTCCAGTACAATGAATAAAGCACCTTTATATTAAAATTTGATAATCTACTATTAATAAATTAATTACAAATTAAAAAAAAAAAATTGGCGAGTCCTGACTAGCTAATTCGTAAACACAGACAATCACGTGATAAGCTTAACCAGCCTCTAACTAGATAGCTTACGCTAAACTCAAGAAAGGAAATGTTTTTTCTTTTTCCTTTTCTTTTCCTTGGGAGATCAAAAGGTTCATTCTACTGATTCGTTATTGTGATGTTCTCCTCCATTCACGAGTGGTGCTGAGGATGTTGATGATTCTTTGGTATCGGTTGGTTTTGATGCTTTAGGATCCCCAGGTTTTGACTTTGATTGGCTAAAAGCAAACTTTCTGAACAAGTTGTTCCAACTCCCCAACTTTGTTTTCCCCATCTTCTCAATCTTTTGTTTCATGCTCAAGCACTCTATCTCGAGCTCAGAAACTCGCTTTTTCATGTCATCAACCGCAATGCGGCCATGTGTGGCTCCTGCTTCAGCGTGCAAATCATTTCTGGCAAGAGCAAGATTCCCACTTGGATGTTGTGAATTATCAAGGTTTTCAGAGACATAAAACAAGCCAGAAACAGAGGTGCGAAGCCGTAGTTGTTCAAAGAATACAACTTGGACAATGACTCTAAGAGGTAGCCTCTCATTCTGGGTTGCGTGAGTGCTGGCTTCCAATGAAAACTTCTTACAGTTCATGAGCCTGCAAAGTTGTTCCCGTTCAGAATCCGTTAGCCATGGATGCGCCTGCATTAAAAGGAAAGTTTTAGTGACCACAGAAATAACAAAAGCACAGATCCAAGGCACAAGGAAATAGCTTTGTAGGAAAAGAATTCCATTAACATAGGCTAGCCAAAAATTGAAAAGAGAAGGAGAAGCATTGCGAGCATAAGGCGCAACTTTCAACAGAATAGTGCTCCATTTCAAACAATGTGATAAACCTATTTTCTTAAAAAACCTTTATGATCCTCCTCCCTAAGATTGAACTATATCATCAGAATTAATGATGAAGTTTGATAAGGAATACAAGTATAGAACAATTTGAAAGTAATCGCCTTTACCTTTAGATATATGTCTATTGCTCGGTAAATTCCATCATCTAATGACCTGGCGTATTCAGGGACAGCAGCAGCAAGGGAATGAAACTTTGCTAACTTCAGATTAACATCAGGTGCCACCTCTGCTAGATAACTATCGATCAGATTTGCCACTGTTGTTTTTGGAGTGAGGAAATGAGAACCTTCCATCATTTGCTCCTCATCTACTATGTAATTTGATGTAGGATTATCATGATCCACCAGCATGAAATGATCGAGAATTCGCTGAACACAGTCAATATCATAAAGGGTTTCCACTGAGTAGCCTGTATTTGGTATCAGAAGATCTTGAAGAGACGCTTGGTCCAACTGGGCTCCAACCCGTTTCTCCAAGTTCCCTCGGCATGATGGACTGGCATGTATCATTGTGGCAGTTCGCAAAAGTCTAAGCAGGAAATTGCTTGGAGTAGCACCCCTTTGATCAGGTAACAATCCCACTAGTTCTTCAAGAAGATTCCTTTGATCTGCTTCAGAAGTACCAGAAATTGTTGATCTAGGCGCAGCAAAGTTTCCACTTTCGATGCTTGATTCCCTGCCCAGCAAAGGCAGATGCCTCTTTGCATAGTACATTAGTGCCCCAGCAACCCTCTTAGGCTTCATATCATTTGAACGAACTGCCAGAATTAGCCTTTTGTACAGAGGTAGTCTAAGCAAGGAAACATCCTCATACCACCAATCCTCACCCACAGGATGCGGCGTGGCTGAAGTACGTATTCCATTCCAGAATACAGTGCCACATGGGTCCCTCATCTCGCTGCCTCCTTGCATGGGCCAACTGAACAAGCTTGGATCTGCAGAAGCTTTCATCGCCAGGGAATTTATGCATCTCGAAACAATATGAAGCTCTTCAGCTTGTGCTCGAACTTTTTCACAGGTTTCAAGAGCTTTAAGGGAGTCTGTCCAGCCGCCAAATACTTCATTGAGAAAATTTTCTGTTTGTGCGATGAGGTTTTCCTCCCCATAATCTTCGCTCATCCCAAAATACTCAGCAGCACATCTGAGACTGACTACATTCGATGTAGTGAGTTCCATTTTTACACCATAACAGAATTTGGCAATGAGCAAGAAGGTTTTTGCTCCACCAGGTACATCATGAAGTTGTAGAACACACTTTTTTTCATTCTCGCTAGAATGATCTCCTATAAGATATGCTAGCGCTTCACTTCTAGAGAGCAATGGAAACTGGAGGAAAGAAAAGAGGACAAAAGAAAAAATTTCAGCTTAATGGTGAATAAATAAAATCATAAAAGTGAACACTATAAGATATGGTGTCTACCACAGTTCTAATTAGCTAGGCAGAAGGGGAAGCCTTTTGTTCTTCCCCAATGAATGGTAGAGCAAACCAAGGCCAATGTGTAAGACACGAGTATCATTATATCTGAGAATGAGAGGAAAAGGGGAAACAATCAAAGAACTAATAACAGGGTGGAGATAATTGCTTCCAAAATTTATTTCCATTTTACTAACTTCATTCTTTAAAATTTTCACAAACAGCAAAGATAAAAGGTACAAAAGAAAGTCTCATTGCTAAATCTCCTTTTGATCCACGATATCCTCGATATTTTGAGGTGAAATGAGCTAATTTAACACATGGAAGCAATATCTTCCAAGCTCGGAACACAGCTGATGAAATGGGGTAAGAGAAAACTGTTACGATTAAACGCCAGTTATGATATCCTTTAGCTAAACTATGATGATTAGAGATAACTAAAAATTAACGCCAAATTACTAGGAAGAACCAATAGTGCAATCATCAAGCATACATTTTCCTGTATCCAAATAACATGATTTCCCTTAAAAAACTTCAAGTATTGTCTGCTTAGTATGGTCTGTTTTATTAAATAGTCAACGAAAGAATAACTCAGTGTTGCCAGATGAGCATGCCGGCCACTCTGGTTAATTTCTATTCTACTTGCAAAATTCACACATAAGGTGAACCATAAGGTATGAGACATGCACGTCCAAGCTTAATGTTGCTCTTGAAGGAGCATCCTTCGAGTGTCACCTCAGAGTATGGTGTCTATATAACACACAACAAATTTTAGTAATCTAGTGATGAACAAAAGTTAGGTTTGGCCATGTAAACACACCTTGTGGAGATGGAAGGACGTCTCCCCAATTTCAATTATGACATCACTTTGAAGCCCAGTTGAGCAAAGCCTGCACCAAATTAAGCACATTCTGGTTTATTTGAAATGCAGTTGGAAATCTTTATTTAAAAAACGAACACTACTTCATATAGAAGCACGCACAATTAGTTATCAAGTGAGGTTATACGTGAAAAAAATTAGCATCAATGAATGATACAGTGCCTGAAAACCTTTGTATAATCCAATGCAAAAGCAAGTGGAAGTAAATCCAATTGACTGCAAACAGTAGTAGAACTGACTCAACAGATTTGCACCTATTGTTACACAGTTACACTCATCATTTGAAATTTTCACCCCAGAACTAAGATGGGGAAAGACCCCACTCATTCATCTACACTCAGTTTTCATTACATTGGCTACATCAATACCACTATATAATGCCAGTGATCTTTGCAAGTAATCATCTTTAAACACGCATTTCTTAAGCACGATAAGCCACAAACACACAACAACCTCACATAATTACCCTCTAGCACTATCATAATCAACCCAAAAACCCATCTCAACATAAAAACAAAAAACAAAATAAACCCGTTGTACTATTTCCAACTTTGACAAAACCCCCAGTTTTTATAATCAAATACGTTACATTCATCCACACACACACACGCATATGAACATAAGTATAAACGAAAGAGTGACAGACCAGGTATGGCCATCAAGATGAAACACTTCTGATTTTGATCCCAGCTTCATGCAAGCCATGTGTAGCTTAAGCTACCACAACAAAAACACTGAAAGAAGTTGTCAACGCAACAATCTTTTGCGATGTAAGTATCAAAGAAATGATCTTTTAACGAGGAAAAGCAATGGAAATGTTGATTTCTGAATTCTGATAGTGATAGAAAGAGAAATAAGTGAAACATAGAAGCTGGTTCGGATCCTTTTTGATAAAGTTTGCAGCTTTTCGGGTAATAGAGAAAAAAAAATAAAGAAAGATTTAAAGAAAATAAAGAGTCCCGAGTCCAAAGGGGAAAATCCAGGAGCAGAATCACTTGCTGCTGTTACAAAAAACAGGCAGTGTTTGTTTCGATAATCTTTCTAGGCACTTACTTCTTTTCTTACGTTAGTAGTGCAAGCATTTTTGTACTTGTTAATATATGCTTCGTTTGTCGTCGGTTGTTACTATTCATTCTTGGAATTATCGCCAATTTAACTGTTCGAGACACATTTAATTTGTGTGTTGCTGCAATTTAGCATTATTTAGAATATATTAAAATAATATTTTATATTTTAATATTATTGTAGTAGAATTATAAGAAATATTTTTTATATTATTTAATAAAAATTCAGTTTAGAAAATATATTGAACTATATTACCAAACATACTATCATAAAATTTTATTTCTAAATCATTATAGGAATCACTTGAGTAATTTGGGTTAGTTTTTAAAAACATTAAATTTAATATGATTTGGTTCAATTAGGTTAATATCTAATATTATTTAAAAAATATTATTTTTATTTTTTAAAAAATAAAAGATATTTATTTAAGAAGGAATACATATTAATTTGAAAAATATAAAAACTAATTCATAACCTAATAACTTTTGTTTGTAATGAATAAAAAAAGGCACTCCTGTTTTTAAATCTACAATATTTATTTCCCTCATTGTATTTAAAATTACTCATTATTCATCACCTAACTTGAAGAACATTTGAAGTAGCAATGTTTGAAAGTGTGGAAAATAAGAAGAAAAAACAAATTCCAACTCATTTTCTTTTGTTTGGAAAGGAGAAAAAGGAGGTAAAAATTCTTCATATGGACCCACTTTCCCAACCTCTTCATTTTGAAAATAATAATGAGAAAAAAACAAATAAAGTTAGGAATTTTCCTTCCATCTCTTAGTGTGTTTATATATATATATAACAAACACTTTGGATATTTAAAATGTTTTTTTTAGTACGGTAGCTTTTATAGTTATGATTTAAAAAAAATTATAAAAAATATATTTATTTGGGGTTGGTTTATTATTTGTATATATTTAATTAAAATTATGATTGAAATTGAGGTTGAATAACAAGTAGTTTAATGTGTTTGGCTAAACATGTTTTTCATATTGAAGTTATAAAATAACTAAAAAATATATATATTAATATTGATGCTTTTTATTTAAATATTATAGATTCAACTATCACAATTACATCATTAAATAAATAATAATCTATATCAAATATTTTTTATTGTTCCATTAACTTGTTTATAATTTCATCACGTATAAAATTCATCTAACAAAAATTACAGTTTTTATGATTTTTGGAGTGTACAACAAAATTAAATAAAATATTATCATAAACAAAATTGAAATTACAATCAAATTCTGCAAGTGTTACGTCATCATGCAATCTTCTTTTAATTTATATAATGTTATTAAATAATATTAAATATTAGTTTTTCAAGTAAAATACAATTAAAAAAATGAATATTTTTTTACCGGATTAGACGCGGTCGAACGAATAGTAGAGACATTGTTTGTGTGAACAGTACCAAGTGAAATTCAGCTGGCACTGTTCAAGTAAACAGTACTACGTGAATTAATTCATTTGGCGTTGTTCACTTCTCTTACAAAACTAATACACAAATACAAGAACATGGAGAAGAGCGTGTTTATTTATATGATTGTTTTTGCGTTTAAAGCAAACTACAAAAACAAAATTAATAATACTAGAAGTGTGGTTACAGTTACTTTTTAAAGTATTTTTTACTTAAAAATATATTAAAATAATTTTTTTATTTTTAAAAATTATTTTCAATATTAGTGCATTAAAATGATCTAAAAAAACCAAAAAATATTAATTTAAAGTAAAAAAAAATATAAAAATTTTAATTTTTTTCAAAAGCACTTTTCTAACATTTCATTTCCACTTTTTGACCTCAAATTAAAAAAATAAATAAATTTAAATACAGTGATTTTAATTTTTATACTTAATAATTTCAACAAAATTTTATTTAAGAAAAATATTGAATTATAAGATACAATTAAATACTCCAGAGGCAAAATTAGGGATTTTTTTCGGATGGGTTCAGACCAGTATTCTCCCTGGGCCAAATTGCCATCCCTGCTCAAATAACATTGGCAAAGGTCCAAACATGTCTGTCCGAAAAGCCCAAATCCATCTCCTCCACCTCCACTTATGTCTCGTCACTGTCACTCCCCCCCAAGTCCCTGTAGAGAGAATACATAGAGCAGAGGACTTGGCAGTTTCCAAGAGATGGCTAGGTCAACAGCCATGAAAGCAGCGGGACTCATTCTAGCTCTCTTGATCCTCACATTTCTCACTCTTTCCGCTTCCTCCTCAAATAACCAGATCCAAATCCTTAACGCCGAACGTAGAGTAAGAGCACCTCTCTTTGCTCAATTTCAGAAATAAAAACTGATTTGATCCTGTGGAACGAAAGAAGATGATCAGGTTTCATGATTTGTTGTTTGTTTGTGTGATAATTGGTGCAGATTGACTTGAGTTCACATATCGTTAAGGTCTTCTTAACTTTAAAGGTATGCCCCTATCATCATTACTTTGGTTGATTCTTAGTTTTTCTTATAATCAAACAAATGGGATTATCAAGCATTTTCGAAAATTTTTAATTGTGGGGGGTTTTAATATATTATTGATGTTGAAATTTGCAGTCTTTCATTGGCAGAATTTCGATAATCTAGCTCAAAATTCAATTTTTTTTTTTTTTAAAAGCATGGCTCAATACTCCTGTAGCATGATGGTTAAGGGCTTGCTTCGAATTATGTTAATTAGGCAAGTGTTTTAGGCTTGATTTCTGGTTGTGCTAGGTGCAAACAATTCCATGTTTGGACGAAGACTCCAAACTTTGATTCGTTTTTTTACTCTATGCATGCCACTGCGAAGGTTGGCATGTCTCAGAAAGATCTGCCAGGTCAAATGGTCTGCCTTCTTTCTACCTTTGATATCATATAAAAAGAGTTGAGTATGCTAGAATAACGATTCAACAGTTGGGTAAAAAGGATGCAGGGATTTTGATTAGTATATTCACTTATAGAGGAATTTGCATTCCAGGTAGCGGGTTATTGTTTGTGTGTGTGTATGTTTGTTGTTTGTGGATTTCTTCTTTTTATGGACATGTATATGGATATAATTCAGGTTGAAAATGTTGGGACAACTCCTGCTTCAGAAATCCTTCTTGCATTCCCACCTTCGCAAGCTGATCACCTAGCACTTGTCAAAGCACAAGCAGCTCTAGGCACGAAGAAGAAGAAAAGTTATGTTCATCTTGTTGTAAATCCATCAGAGCTACATGATGCGCCAAATGGAACTAAATATTTTATTATATCTTTACTGAATCCATTGAGTTTGGGTGAAACTGCCACTATGGAAGTGCTTTATATATTAACACATTCTCTGGAACCTTTCCCAGCAGAGATAAGCCAATCGGAATCGCAATTGGTATATTTCCGTGATAGTGCATTAATACTGTCACCATATCATATTAAGCAGCAAACTACTTTTATTAAGACACCAAGTACGAAAGTGGAATCATATACAAGAGTGGAACCCACCAAGTTTGCTGGCAGAGAACTGAAGTATGGACCATATGAAGACCGTCCTCCATATTCATTTTCTCCAGTAATTGTTCATCTTGAGAATAACAGCCCATTTGCAGTTGTTGAGGAGCTTTTAAGAGAAGTGGAGATATCTCACTGGGGCAACCTTCAGATAACAGAGCATTACAAGTTGGTTCATGCTGGTGCTAGACACAAAGGCGTGTTTTCAAGGTTGGAATTGCTGCTCCATGCCGTGTTTTTCCTCCTTTTAGTTTTTAGCACTTCATATTCATTCATTTTTCTGTACCCCCCCCTCCTCCCCACTCCAACACGCACGCCTTCTCTTTCTTTTTGAATTTAGGCTAGAATGAAAGTTAAAATGCCATACTGGTCAGCGTATTCTGTATAGACAATCCATAACTAAGGATTTTCTAGCTTGTTTCTGATCTAATTAAGTTTTGTGTGACTTTCTTGAAATAACCCCCTCCTTCCTCCACCCCTCTGTTTCAATATAGTTTATATGACTGTTTTTTTCTCTTTCTTGTGTTTCATCTTCTGTAATTAGTCTGTTTTAATCTCATCTTCTGAGACCTTCTGGCAGGGTTGATTATCAATCTAGGCCATCTTTTAAAGGCGCATCTTCATTCAAGCACCTTCTAGCAAGTCTACCACCCAGGGTGCACTCTGTGTATTATCGGGATGAAATCGGAAACATCTCATCGTCACATTTACGTACAGATTACCGTAAGGTATTGCCCCTATTCTCTAGTTATGTGCTTGCATCATAATGGAACTATGGTTATATTTTGATAGAAGGAGAGATGGGAATACTGCAAATTGGGAAAAAAGTGGTACTTGGTGTTATTTTTATGGACTGCAGTTTTCATCATCTTATGTGCTGACTCGACACTCTCTAAACAGTCAGAACTTGAAATTGAACCTCGGTATCCTTTATTCGGAGGTTGGAAGGCTACTTTTGTTATTGGATATGGGTTACCACTGGAAGATTTCTTGTTTGAGTCTCCTGATGGCAAGCGATACCTCAACTTCAGCTTTGGTTGTCCTCTTGCCCAGACTGTTGTGAACAAGCTGATCATCAAAGTGGGTTTGCTTCTATTAATCATTTGCAGTGATGATGCTGTTTGTCTGACATTTGTCTGTTTGTTGCTTTAGTCATATTCTTCTCATGCTAATGCCAGAAGATGTGTTATTTCAGGTTGTGCTGCCAGAAGGATCAAAAGACCCTTCAGCTGCTGTTCCTTTTCCTGTGGAGCAGCATCTAGAGGTACTAATCCCAGCACAATCCAAAATATTACTTTTAAGTTTAACAAGTGTGTTGGAGGCGTATCGTTGACATATTTTATTTTTATGTGCTAAGCAATAACAAGAACATTGCTTGAAACTTATAGTTTAAAAAATCCGAATGATTAGCTTTCCCTGTATAAGAAATATTCAATCTTTAAAAGTGAGCTTGGTGCTTTGCTTTATTGCAACATAACAGCACTGATTGCGTTTATATTTTTGGAAAC